CGTGCTGGGTTGAATTTTTTAGTGCATCGTCTTTTGACTTTCCCTCCAACACATGAGAGGTTCACAAAAGAAAAACGTACAATACAGGAAATAGCAGCCACTAACGGTTTCTCGAGGGGTATTGTAGATGACATAATGAGGAAGAAGAAAGTTAGGTTAAGAATGAACGGAATCTCGACTTTCAGAAAGGACAAAAACCAAGAAAAATATATCTCAGTTCTATACCACCAATACACGAAGAACTTTGTAAAGATTTTCAAGGAACTAGGTATGAAGGTGGTTTTTGAAACAAGTCATACACCACAGAGCCTTTTGGGAAGTCCAAAAGACAAAGTCGAGAATTCAGAAAAGCCTGGAATTTAGTAAATTGAATGTAAGGACTGCAATGCAAAATATATATTAAAGTAAGATATAAGGAACACATACCACACTTAAAATATGGAAGACCTGAAAAATCAGCAGTCACCCATCATATTTTGCAACAAAACCATTTCATAGACTTCAGTTCATTAAGATTAGTTAGACAAGTTAACACAACAACAGGCAACTAGATGCCTATAAGAGTGTAGAAATTAGTAAACATAATATTATGAATAACAAGGACGGACCAATACCAAATAGCATACTATATGCTTATTAAAATAATATTATTAGATTTACTGACTATTACATAAGGACACATTGTAAAAATAAATTTAGATAGACAATAGATAAGACAGACGATTTGGTGTTGGGAAAAAACTCCAGTAATATTCAATTCCATATTAGTAGGCACTGAATTTTCAAAAATATTATTACATTAAAACAAAAACATTGTCAAGGTTGTGATTTTGTATATCCTTATCATGATTTTTCCTCATCTGTTTAGTATAACTTCCGTACGCCACAGCAACAGACAGATTAAGACAAAAATAACGTCAATCATGTCTGAGAATGTATTGCCTACTATTTTGGAACTATAGTATATACTACTGATGTTAATATAAAATTCAATGGACTATTTTTTTTCTGAATTTTATCTTTATTGTATCGTGAAGAATAACCCCCAAAACGTTTGAGTGAATTCGATCGGGTATTTTCTTTTCAATTGTTTTCTGAATATCTCCAGAACTATGAATATTTTTTGTGATAAAACGAGTTATCCTTTTCTGTTCATCATAGAATTATATACTTACAGACAAAATATTTAATGTTCATTTCTCTATAATTATATTATAAAATAAAGTCTCCCGACTCGTGTCTATCTGAACGCGATAATATCAAAAGCAACCGAACGGATTTTCATACGGTTTTCTCCAATTGATGAAGTGATTCAGAAGTGTGTATAATTTATCAATGTTTTGTGGGAATTGGTGTGAATATGTAGATGTTATCCGTAAGAAGTCGGGCGGTGGTGTTAGGTACCCGTGCACAGCCAGGAACTTTCATCGAAAACGCTGCCTAGTCCCTTTGAGATACATCAAAAAAATTCATTACATATTGTTCTCCTGTTATATCCCCCTGTTATAGGTCTACAAAAAAGCCCGCGATGGCATATGTCTGCCTTTTAAGGAAAGCTTACGAAACCCATCGAGAAAAACGTAAAAATCTTACTATGAAAACGTTTTCCAATGTTCTTAATTGCAGAACTACAACAGAAATGAGCATGAAAATTATTGTTTGAACATTACTTGTGTACCGCAACAAAAACTTTAGGAAATGTCTGGGCTTACATAACTCCTAAACATTCCCAAGAGTTATTTATTTGGAGTTTATATATGTTCAGGATACTTCAGGATACGAAAAATATTGGTCTCTCCTGTTTGAGACATTTCTGACCGGGAATTGTTCTGATGATGTTTTTCCGAAGGAAAACGTCAAGAAACGCATGTGTTGTGATGCGTGGCTGATGAATTTGTTGAGAATGACTTGGTGTTGATTATGGAATCCAATAAATAAAATTTATAGCAGATCGATCATACCAACACAAAAAGTTACTGTGCCACATTTTCATATAATATGAAACAGTGGTGGTGGAGCCAAAAAAGAAAATCCGACTATTTTAGTTTTTTTGTGAGAAAAAGATTTTTATTGTCCTTCAACTAGGCATTTTTTTTTAATATAACTAACCTTGCGAGTCTTACCATTTTCGAGATAGCAATAGTGGAATCAGACAAAAAACGTATTTATATCATTGGATGAAAAAATATATCCAAAACAATTACTTTCGGGAACACAAGATTTTAGCTTTCTGATTCTCCATCTTGATACGAAAAAAGGGAGAATCTTCCAAAGAAAGGAAGAAAGCAATTATTTAAAATTAATTGCAGGAAGAAAGTAATTATTTAAAATTAATTGCAGGAAGAAAGTAATTATTTGAAATTATTTGCAGGAAGAAATCAATTATTTTAAGTTAATTGCAGGAATAAAGAAATTATTTGCAGGAAGAAATCAATTATTTGAAATCAATTGCAGGGAGAAATTAATTATTTGAAATTAATTGCAGGAAAAAAGCAATTATTTGCACGAAGAAAGCAATTATTTGAAATTATTTGCAGGAAGAAATCAATTATTTGAAATCAATTACAGGGAGAAATCAATTATTTGGAATTAATTGCAGTAACAAAGCAATTATTTGAAATTAATTGTAGGACGAAATCAATTATTTGAAATTAATTATAGGAAGAAAGCAATTATTTGAAATTATTTGCAGGACGAAATCAATTATTTGAAACTAATTGCAGGAAAAAAGCAATTATTTGCAGAAAGAAAGCAATTATTTGAAATTAATTGCAGGACAAAATCAATTTTTTTGAAGTTAATTGCAGGAAGAAAGCAATTATTTGCAGGAAGAAAGCAATTATTTGAAATTGATTGCAGAAAGAAATCAATTATTTGAAATCAATTACAGGAATAAAGCAATTAATTTCAAATAATTGACGACTTCCTTTCTTTGGAAGATTCCCATATTTTTGTATAAAGATGGAGAAGTAGAAAGTCAAAACCTTTCTTTTTTAAACTCGCCTTATCTTTTCAGAATGTCCCATTCAAAATATATTGTTTGTGTTAACGGTTGTAGCTGTTGTTGCTATCTAGTTTCATTTTAATTTTTTCACTATTTCACATACTGATGTGTAGATAAGGTACAAATGAAATACGAAATGCTCATATGCTTCTAACTAATTAAAATATCAAGAATATTAATCAAAAAAGATGAAAAGATATTTCAAACCTAGGAGAACCATGTTGATTCTGGAACTTACTACTGATAGACGTGTATTAAAAAGTCATATACCGACGGAAAGTAAATATAACCTAGTTGTGACGTCATTTTATCATGATCAAGGCAAGTCCAGTTCAATGGAATTTACTTCTCTTTAACTATGTTGGATATAGATTTTTCAAAAAATGCAAAAATAATAGGCAAAGTACTGTGAGGCATTTACCAATGAAATAATAAAATTAAATTCCTGATAAAATCGCAAATTACAAAATTAGCGATTATCAAATAACATGTCAAACTTAACACATCCACTTCCAACACGATTTTTTTAAAAGGGGAAACAAAGAAGCAACATAATGAGACACTATAAAAGGATAGGTACAAACAAGTTTCAAAATTCCGTGTTTTCTAAAAAAACACTGAAGGAATAAAAAAGCATTTCGGAATCGAGAATTTCATTGAATCTTCATAATCTAGAGTAGTTTACCTATGACAGAATTTTTCTTCCGGCCTGTATAAAAAAACTGAATGACCCACACGTCTAAGTAAGAGTTTTATTTGATACTTCAATTTCTTTCTTTTGAAGTTTCTGACTCTTTATATTAATGGAGAAGTAGAAAGGTATTTTTTTTAAACTAATCTCTGCTGAAAATGCTGTCTTTTCAATAAAAGAAAATTCATTAATCAGCATAAAAATACTGAATGATAGGGGGTAACGACCTCGCTAATTTTGTATACAAATAATTGAAAAATCCCCCTTTTGTAACAATATCACTTCACATAACTTAATATTTGCTTTGTGAACTTTAAGAATGAAAAATAATTTCCGAATCTTTATGCCTAAATCTTAAGTAAAACTCACTCTTTTATAAATCCTGTATTACACAAAAATAGCAATACCAACGAAATCAAATATTGATAATTCAATTTTAAAAACTACCTTCAAAGGCTACGCTTGTCAAAGCATATGGAAAACTTCCAGTCAATAACTAGTTGTTCTCTATTATGCAGACATCCAGTATAAATTCTGGAAATATGCCAAACCACGAAATTAAATCCATGATCTTCCCCTCAACTTTCTTCGTCCATTACACTTATATCCTTCATTATATACCTACATACATCTATTGTTATTTTTTGAACATGATAAAGAATCTCAAAATATCAAATACTCCTAATAAGAAAATATCTAATAGAAGCAATGAGCTCAGAAATAATTTTCACTGCACATAGTTCCATGAGAAGGAAAATTCTTGTTTCCACAATGTCATAAAATCAAAATTAAATATTTAATGAAAGGAACTCTACAATAATACCTACTGCCGATTCACATATTTGCGTTACTCCTAAAGACTCAGAATAAATAGTTTCTAATACTTTTTCATGAACTTCTAAAAGAACCAAGGAAATGAAATTACTCAATTATTTATAACCACATAAAAATTCATCTTATCTGCGTCGCATATATAGACAGCCCACACATATTTTATTGTCCTGAATAGTGAAAATTAATTACATTTCAGTGGCTCTCAATTCGAAAACCCCGTAACAATTTTTTCAAAAGAATAATAAATATTAGAAAAGAAAAAATCCAGAATTAATCGTGTTCATTAAAAAAATATGAAGCTTATAAACTGAATATTTAAATATGCAATTACCTTCAAGCATTCCCGCAAAAAAATCGTACAGCACGCATGCGCACCTAACAGCAAACATTATGCCACTGCAGAGACTCGCCATGGGTCTCTTTTAAAATGGGATTTCAGCCTTAAAACTACATAAATGTCAAAAATGTTACCTTCTGTCGATTCAGCGAAGTATCCTGCACAATTCAACGTCAGATTTTGGGCACTTTTGCTTTACATACCGCAATAACTGAACATTAATCGAGAGAGCCTGATAAGAACACACCATCAATTCGTCTACAAATAGTTGTGCTTGTAAGGCAGACTCCATTTTAATATTGGAGACGATTGATTCCGAACGTAAACGACATGTACCGAGCGGGGTAGATATGAGTGCATTCTACAGTGTTGCCAAATGCAAAGAAATTTATTAGGATTTGAATAATTTAAAATTATTAATATAAAGTTTTTATCGACCTTCTTGGAGATTTTCACCTTCCACAATCTGCGCAATTTCTTAGCTCTCTTTTTCATTGGCAAAATCATCAAATACTGCTTATAAATATAAAACTTAGATTTGTGAAAAATGCTTTGAATTTATACCGTAAGTTATCGGGATTAAAAGTAAAGTTTGCCATTCTACACATGAATGAATTTCTCCATCACAATTTCATCCGTAAAAAATGAAATTTGTTCAACTTGAATGGATACAAATTTTTAGTTCAATTGATAAGAAATCTAAAGAAAAATTGGAGTCATCCAGAAACCAATCTTCAAATATAGTATTCCTGAACAAATCACCTCTGAAAGGCAGAATTATATAGTATAAAATTTGGAAAAATATGGTACAAAAAAAGAAAAATGCCAGCAAAGGGGTGACAATTTTTTTTTCGAATTTACTTGTAGAAAAAAAGTTTTACAACTGAATGTGAAACATGTATGTATGTACCTATTTTTTTTATGAGTAATGTTTTTGGTGCAATTACTATAGACATGAGTAACTGATCACAACAATTAGTGAAAATAGGATGTTTTATCTTTCGACTTATAGAGACCCAGGTGTTTTAACCGATTAACTTTTGTTTTGTTAAAAACTCTCGACGCGAGAAATGAGGTTCATTAAACTTTGTACACATGTTAATAGATGGTGCCAGAATCGAAATATATCGCGCGAATTTTGTTCAGATCTTCAATTTATGGACTATAATGTGAATAAATTATTTCACCAGTGTCAATTCATGAATGGACTGACCCGTTACTTGATGAAAATCAATAGTACTATCCTTGATAATAACTATACAATTTCCACAAACATTTTTATTGCATTTTCTACCGAGCAAGCTACGATGTTAGCGAAACGCGTCTAGAAATTGTGAAAGGTGTGTAGTTATTATCATTGATGTACTATCAATGTATCCCCAAATGTGAGTAACATTTAAAATTGAAGTGCTAACTTGACGTTGTCAAGTTGCCGCATTTAAGTTGTACTCGGCACCTCTGTGACTGAAATGCTGAAATGTATTGAATATCTTTATTAGGTATTATTTATCAAGAGTGCTGAAGATCGAGAGATTTTTGACAAATTATTTTACATGGGAAAGGGATTCAAGTGATTACACCAAGGGTATTCTATGCATCTTGGTTCTGGTATTCCTGATAGATGTCGTGGCTTGATGAATTGTCCTATGTTCCTCTTTCTCCCATGCGTTAAATGTGTTACCTTTAATTTTATATGCATCTATATACCATATTCGTGTTCTCGTACTTTCAAAAGAATTAAAAATATATGTAAATAAAAATAGCAACAGAATGAAGCTTGCTTATGTTACGCCTTCTTCGGAAAAAAATATTCTGAATCTTTTAATAAAAATATAGGTATAGTCGAAGTAAACGATAATATGCATATTTTAAGTTGACGGCACTCTCAAAAAATACAATACAATGAAAGCCGAACTAGTCCACGTGGACTATAGACTTGACGGTTCGTATTGGATAATTTTTACTAACCGAGTTTTTAGATTGGCTGAAGAGTCATAAAATTAAATTTGAAGTCATGTTACGGTGACGAATAGAAATTGGGAATGATAATGAATGATGACAGTTATCACCCGAAGACGATTATTGTGGATACTAACAATCGAAACGTCGTGACGTAACTTGTTTGGAATCTTTTGATTTTTTATTTTATTCATATTCAGAATTTATACCTACTGTCCTGATCAGATATTGTAATTGTTTTACAAATTCTACTTGTTATCTCTAAATGTACCTGTTTTGCAAGAACTGAGATGGTAATTTGTTTTACAAATTCTACCTGTTATCTCATTTACTATTAACCAATTAAGTGAGGTAAATCACTGTTGAATATAAAAATTGTTTGTCTTGTACTACCGATGATGGTGTTAGCGAAACGCGCATGTAGAATTGAAAAAATATTTGTGAAAATTGTTTAATTATCATCATGGATAGTGTTATTAATTTTCATCAAATAACGGGTCAGTCAACTTACAATTTATAAACATTTCAGTTGAACACCTGTATAGATATGCGTTTTTTGCAAATATCTGAATAACTATATAATAAATGAATCTCTTGACAACACTTCTTCCTCTCCAGAACAAAAATAGTGTCACTCGACGTGCGTTTCGCTAACCGAATTAGTATCATCAGGAGATTTGATGGTGCTAAAAAGTGTTTTCAACAGATCTGAAGTGCTTTTTATACAAAATATCTTTGAAAAATGACCTCATCCCGAAACTTTATCGCCAATATTCATAGTTTCAATTGAGCAGTGAAAATATTTTCATTTTTCATGGAAACCCTGTATATTTGAAAATAACTTTGAAACATGGCCACAAGTGACCTGCATATTATTCGTGCCACTCAGTTTATCTGAAATCACTGAAAATATGTTTCGTCTAACTTCTAGGATCCGTCTCGTTACTCGTGACCCAATCTATGTGTGTACATGAGTCTAAGATAAGAACGACCAGAATGTAAAATTAGGAAAATGTTGCCCAATTTGCAACTTATTTGAATGACCTCTTGGAATTTACTGATTGAACTAAATCAATGACCAGTCGTCAAACAGGAAAACTTATAATGGGTCAATATGAAAAAATAAAATTGGTGATGGTTTTTCGAAGACGAAACGCCGGATTAAAATTATGTGAACGCTATTATGTACAGCTTGAGACAATGTGTTTTCATATTTTAATATCTTCTTAAATAACGTCAGAAAAACATTCCAAAGAAATTGTCGAATTTTGATTCTTTGAAATATCTCCGGAACTAATTGGAATTTTTCTAAATGTAGAAACTTCATTAGAGTAAGCTAAAATGGACAGATTTTTCATTTTCCCATGCAGGTCCTCCTTGGATATATGATATATAATATCGAAAGGATGACCGATTTTGATACAATGCTGAATCTTCATTTTTCAAACACGTCCGTTGAATAGATCTTTGACAAACACTCAGAAAAAATCACAAACACGATCCCAAGTAACAAGCAAGAAAAACGAACTAGAACTCATGGAAAACATGAAGCACCGATGATGACGAAAATCCAAACTGAGCTAACCTCTCGACGTGTCAAATAATAACAAAATGAATGCCGCGAGCGCACGCGCATGATTTTCGATCAAGAACGTACAAATTCAAAATAAATGAATTCCTGAAAAAGAGAAGTGTGCCTATATAGTTGTAAATCTTCGAATATGTATGAAGTTACCGAATGTTAATTCGATATCTGATTTTTTGTTGTTTCAGATTTTAAAATGCCACTGCTTTCGAAGAAAACTTTTGCGAAACCCACGAAAAGACCCGCTAAAGCGTTTAAGCAACCAGTACTAACGCACAAAAATATCGAGAAAATTCTGGGCGAAGATACTGAAAAACCCAGGCGACATTCCAGTAATGCATCATCCAAAGCCTCATTTAAGGACAACAATGTCGAGCTGGGAAGTAATTCTTCGAAAAAATGTTTGAGCGAGTCCCTATCTTTTGAGGAATCCCAGCCTGAGTACAAATCTGAAGATTTATCGTACCGAATGAACGAACCAGCTGTGAAAGATGCCTACTTGAAGTTCGTTAAAAGTTTCAGTCAATCGAACAAAGGTAATTCTAATGAAAACAACTTTTCTCTCACATTTTTCTAACCAAATTAGCATCGTTAGGAGATGAAAGAGAGTGGAATTTATTGGTCATTAAAAATTTCACAATTGCATAAAAAAATACTTATAAAATCTTATTGGACTAGTCAGAACCCAAATATTAAGCTCAATATAAAATTACTGGAGACATATATGTAAATTATGCCCTGTAACTGAGGGTGTTAAAATACCCCGACAGTGGTATTTTATTTATAGCTCTGAGCCAACTCAGTACTGCTAACAGGACCTTCGAGATACCGGGAAGAACTTTCTTCATTGTAAGCCTTGTATCTGTATCCTGCCTACTTTGAATTTTTTGTTTTTTATAAGCAGAACTTCTGTCCGAGCACGTACCATATTAGTGCCTCTGGCATTATTTTAACTTACATTTTCTACGCACTTCTTCATTGGAATTTTCATATATCCCAATATTTCTAACGTTCTTAACTTGCAGGCAACAGCACACTTTTTTGCATATGCAGGACACTCTTGGGGGCTATTAATCTTCTGGCATGTATTTTTCTTATAATTGTTACTATTTTATCTAAAAAGTTTCTTCTAAACTATTATTACTTCAGTGATATGATCTTGGAACATAAGAGTCTTTTGTTCACAATGTTAATTGGTCCTGCAGAAATGGATAGCCTGAAGTTGCATTCCTTACGCCCACAAGCTCAGTTTTCATGAGACTACACAGAATTTATTCCATTGAAATTACAACTCTTAATCAATCAGTTAAAATGTTGTCCTAAAGTTTCACCCTCTTTGTAGCACTTATTTACTAGGGATCTACATACTATTCAATAAGTTGCAAAATTAAATTATATTCATTTTGTGTAGCCAGTATACCTGCAGATTCTGTACCAATTGTATTTTTTGAGTTGGACAGCTTTACCTCATTGGCGGATTGATTTTGACTCGTGGCAAGATGAAGATGAAAGGAAGTCTTCCAGAATTTCTACTGAGCGGCAATTTTTCCCTTGGATATTGAAATCTGGTGTCAACTTGATTGGTCCGCTCATCGAATCAATAGGTTTGTTCTGGTTCTCAGTTTTACTGTTTCGAATCGTCCTAAATCAGTGAGTCAGTTGTGGATTGAAAAGGTTTATGCGATGTGTTCAGTATTCAGTTGGATAACTGCTTTCTGACCGTTAGGAACAGTCCGGGCAGAGAACCAGAACAGGCCTCATATTTCATATTGTACTTATAAACTTCCTTGAGTAAACAATTTACAAGCTTCTCGACCTATGAATATGAATCTATACTTTCTTTTTTCCTGAATTATTCGTTCTGGCAACTTCGTCATGTTCAATTCCGAATGTTTTAATAAAAAGGCCTCTTAATTTGAACTCATTCTAATTTATTACTTCAAGACATCCTCAGTTCATAAATTTTTTGCATGGTCATCGAATGAACCTCAAGTCTTGAAGTTAATTTATTGGACTGAGTTGAAAGTATCGAAACTATATATTTTTGGTCATACACTATTAAACATCGAAGGAAGAAAGAAGTACACGTCATTGGAAATTATTTGCAAAGATGTGTAGATCATGCACATGAATATCATTCAGGTACAAACTGGAAAACAAATCTATCTAAAATAACTACTTCGAAAATTATGACTTGAATTCAAAGGAAATAATTTTTTTCATTCAATTTGTACTCCAAACGTTCATAATGGCATTGAAACAGATCATTCTCGGAATGTTAATTCGTATGTTAAATTTTGTAGATTTCCTGTAACAGATATGTTTCAATTCCATTATGAATGTTTGGAGAACTAACTGATAGGAAAAATTGATTTCTGTGTAATTCAATATTCATAAACTTGAAAGTAGTTCAAATTGCAAGCATATATTTTTAGGAGAGATTAATTTTTGGGAATGAAAGATTTTGGCTTTCTCTATACTTCTCAATCTTGATACAAAAAATGTAAGAATCTTCTAAAGAAAGGAAGGAAGCAATCAATTTCAGAAATTAACTCTATATGAAGATGTGTAGGCAAACAAGTAGCTTTCAGACAAAAACTGCAATAAAAAACCCTGTCGAAACAGCTATTTTCATAAAAACATTGAATTGCACGAAAGAAAAATACTTTCGAAACAATTACTTTTATATGAACGCTGAATTATATGAAAAACATTCCTTCTATTCCGTTCGTATTCCAAACATTCATAATGGAATTGAATCAGATATCATTCACAGGATTCCTACACAATATAATCAATTAAAGAGGATGACAGTGTTCCATGTAGGTGAAATTTGCTTTTTTCATTAATTATATCGTGTAGGAATCCTGTGAATGATATCTGATTTAATTCCATTACGAATGATTGGAATACAAAAGGAATAAAAGGGATGTTTTTCGTATGTAGGCTTTCATAAAAAAGTATGTTTTTCGAAAGTATTTTTCTTTCGTGCAATTCAGTGTTTTTATTAAAATAGCTGTTTCAATAGGGTTTTTTCTTCCAGTTTGTGCCTGAAGCTACTTCTTTGCATGACCTATACATCTTTATATAGAGTTATTTTTTTTAATTGATTGCTTCCTTCCTTTCTTTGAAAGATTCCCATATTTTTTGTATCAAGATGGAGAAGTAAAAAGCCAAAACCTTTCTTTCCCTTGAAAGTAGTTATTTCAGACTATTCATTCCAGTTTATATCTAAAAGTAACTTCTGTGCATGAACTACACATCTTTGTAAAAATGTTTTGCTGATATATTTAATTACTTTGTTGCCATTCAGAAGTTTTCCACGTTCTATACATATGATGATGAAGTATAAAGTGGTTTTATTAAAAAAACTGATCGCTCCTGAAAAATTTTTTTTCTTTCAATTAAAGGTGATTCGATTTGTTCGACTCCAGCAACAAAGGCGGACAGCATCTTATCTAAATCCTTGGAGGATCTGTTTAAATCTTTACCTGCCGACGAAGCTGAAGCTTCTGGAACCAGTAAACAGAAGATTCTTGATTCAAGTGAATCCCTTTCGCAAGAGGTTCTAAATCGTAAAGAGGTGAAAGACGCGTATTTGAAATGTATGGATCAGTTCATGGGAGAAGAAAAGTTCGATTTCATGAAGAACTTCAAGCCAGCGAAAAAAAGAGCGAAATCGTTCAAAAATTCGCCTGAAAAAATCAAGATTCCCAAACAGACGAGCAATTCCTCAAAAATCTCCAAAGACAAGAACATCACAAACTCCAAGAAGGTCAATAATGAGGCCGGTAAGAAAAGAAAGCTGCCAGAAGATGGAGCACTTGCGAAAACTGATCGCAATAAAGAAAAAACAGGGAGGAACTCTAAAGAAAAGAAAACCAAGCAGGAAAATATTTCACTTTACGATAAAATGATATTAATTCAAGAGTCCCGAAACGTAGGACTTTATGCCATATGTGATATTTGCGATAAAGCACGGTACCTGCCTGACGTTACAGATCCTCTTGATTTACCCGACAAGTGGTACTGCTCAATGAACCCGGACGAAAAGCATAACAATTGTAATTCGCCCGAAGAGGTATATGAAGAGGAGGAATACTTGGTTGAGAAGTTGTATAATGCTGGCAGTATTGTTTGGGCAAAAATTGGTAGCTATCCTTGGTGGCCAGCTATGGTCGAAGACGACCCAGACTTCGAAACTTATTTTTGGTTGGAGAAGGATATTCTGCTACCGGTGAGTGGTCTTATGTTTGCTGTTTTTTTCGATATCCTTAAATCCTTTTAGAGTTTTTTCAAGGTCCAGAACTTAACGACCTGTTGAAACTAAATTCAACAGTGATAACCTTTTAATTTTGAATTCAAAGATTTTAGCACTTGATCAAAAGTTAATCATGTTTAAAAGTGAACATGCCTCTGGCTAATTTCTCAGCATGACAGGCTGTTAACCGAATATATTCAAAGCTCAATAGTTTTTTACCCATATATATAAAATCTATTATTTCTTTGTCATTATATTCGTAGAGGTTATCAATATAACCATACAAAAGTTCAAGGTTAGTTATTAATGTCACCAAGTACGAACTTTTACTAATAGTACTAGTCTCAACAAATACAAACTTTTAAAACAATATTTTATGTTCAAATGGAACAAAAAAAAGAGTAACAAATTTATGTCATCTGCATTCATAGTTTCAATGAACGAGAAATTCGTTTTGTGAAAGTTGTAGATTTCACTAAGGAAAAAGTTTTCAGTTATTTTTTCAAATGATTTTCTGATTAACATACGCTCACTATTTCATTTATTTGTTTATCAAATACAAGTGATAAGCTAAGGCACTAATAATTAGGGTGCAATTTATTTTCTGGGACATTTATGATGTTATGTTCATATAGAATTAGAAATATAATGATACTTGATTAAAAATGGTCTAACAATATAGGAACCAATCCTTCATAGTGCAATGAAGGACTATGAAGGATTGGACAATTCCTACATCTTTTGACCTCGGTAATTGTGTGTGCAAGTTCTGTAGCTCAATATCAAGCTGGCAAATCTCCAAATGATATTTTTTTTAGTCAATCTGTTTAAATAAGCATAATAGATTATGTGATTGCAGTAGATAGTTCCATAATTTTTCCTGTACTCATGCAACATATTTGGGATTTAGCTCAAAAACACCAATTCTTTTTTCTTCAGACTTGGTACCACGTCACTTTTTTCGATACCACTGAAGTCACTAGAGCCTGGCTCCGCCCGTCTTGTATAAAACCCTTCAAAATCAACATGAACAATTCGGAGTTTCAAACACCAAAATTTGACAAACATAAGTCTAGAATCGAAGAGAGTTTCAAACAAGCTGTCGAAGCCACAGAATTACCTCTAATAGAGAGGTTGAGAAAATATAGTTTCATTCAGAGATATCCTAAACTATCTTCTTCTACGAAGACGGTAGTAAACAAAAAACAATCTCAATCGAGACGAATGACCAAGAAGAATGAGAATGGATCAATAAAAAAGAAACCTAAAACGGTCAGAAGAATGTTGTCGTCCAAGGAGAATAGCTTGGTCGAGTGTGATAATATTTCGGATATACTGGACACTATGGATTTGCAGAATGAAGAGAATTTGAACATGAACAAAAAACAATCTCAATTGAGACGAATGACCAAGAAAAATGAGAATGGATTATTAAAAAAGAAACCTAAAACGGTCAGAAGAATTTTGTCGTCTAAGGAGAATAGCTTGGTCGAGTGTGATAATATTTCGGATATACTGGACACTATGGATTTGCAGAATGAAGAGAATTTGAACATAAATTTGTTACAGAGATCCATTTCTAACTATTCGCTTACATACTAGGTATGTAAGTTCAAAGTTGTTTTTCTCGTTTATTTTCAAGTTATGTGTTTTCTTCAACATTCAAAAATTGTTAATTTTTCAAGTTGTGTTAATATTAGGTATGTAAGTTCAAAATTGGTTTTTTCCTTGTTCTAATTATCGAATAAAATGAAATAAAAGCGTCAATGTATATTATATTTGTTTTAATATATTCAAGTATAGCACATTCAAATATTAAATTATCTTCCATATGGAAAAATTATTGGATCTATGCAAAGGCATCATAATTAAACGAATAAATTATATACAATCTCGAAATTAATAATAATCTATTTCCTAAATACTATTTGTGGTAGTTGGATAATATCACATTTACATGACGAATACTTTTTCCACCTTCTTGAAGGGGAATATATCCTTTGTCTTTGGGCAAATTATTTGTCCATTGTTTTCGCGCGCCATCTGTTGCAGTGCCTGAAGAAAATAACAAAAAGTAAGTATTGAGAACTTTACTGATTTTTGTTTTTCATCAATGTATTTCGTCTCAATGTCCATCTTGCACAGTTGCCTAGTTATTATTATCCGTGAGGTTAGCTTAGAAATGGTCCACTTATTTTTGATACTAAACTGTTGACATCGTTAACCTTTGGCAATAAATTCTATGAAATAATTCAGGTTTTCTTATATATGTCTATTCTCAACAATTAAATAAAAACACTGTATTTGACAAAGTGATGGAGAATAATTTTGGTTGTAGTTGAAGTTTCAGACATTCACTGATTGAAAAAGCAATAATAGATCTGAAATTTAAAATGGTTAATGTCTGCCGGAAAACAACTACTTTCCCGGCTAATACGACGCTGGGTATTAAATTATATCCGACAGACATTTATGCAAGATACCACAAAGAGGTTAGTTTCACAGATGTTTCTCGTTCATTCAATAGCAGGACCCTAGTTGATAATTCCAACACTATACTCTGTCCATCTAAGCTACGGAGTGCTCCGAAACATTATCATGCATAGTGCATGTGATCTCCCAGACAAGGCTGCTTGTACAGAGTCGCATTAAGGAACGACCAATTTTTTTTTATAATATGCGGCTGGGTATAGTAAATTTTTATTGTGGCGTGTAGGGACACAAATTGTCAGTTTCTTCAGCAGTATCAGTACTTGACATCTTAAAAGGTGTAAACTTTGAAATACTGTTTATGTATGCCGATTGCAGTTAAATCTATTAGGCCAGCGTAAAGAGGCCCATTTATTTTACCCGATAGATGCAAATGTGCGTGATCATGCTTTGATCATGCAACTATCTTTGTTTGGGTTACTTTTTTTGTTGGATGAATACAGTTCAGAGTTTTTCATGAATTATGTTTTTTGAGAAATTCAATTCCTCCTTTTTCTACTTACCCCAACTCAACAAGATGGATATTTAAATCAAATATACAAGGTGTTCCACTAAAATTTGAAACTGATGTCATGTGACCAGAATCAAAATGATTCTAAAATTTCAACAAAACTTGCTACGTAACAGTTACTACGACATAACCTGATTGCAAATTATTGACCACTCTCGATATTTTCATAGTGTGGAACAGCTGAATGTAAAATTCATTATTTCAATCACAGTGCATATTTGTAAAAAATCCTGAAATACCTGAAGATTTGAAAACTGTATCAAGATTTTTTTCCATAAATTAATCACTCCTACGAAAATATTACCCTTGCTATTAATCGAAATGAATGGTTATATCATTATCGAAGAAAAATTATATCTTCCCCACCTGTTCTCCGTAGATATGGCCATTGGGTAGCATCATTGGTTGATTGTTTTCGTTCATAGGCAATCCGCTGATATGGCAATAAAGGCGAGACTGCGAACAGTGAGCAAATGGTAAATGTTCGGCTAGCTCGTTCAAATATGGCTGACAAACTGGGCAGGTTGGATTCCTGTTCTCGCAGCTTTCAGAATAACACTGAGTACTAGGTGTTAAGGATAATATTACAAAGCAGCAATAAATATTTCACTATATTTAATAAAATAGGTAAAACTCAACCCTACAGCTTGAACTGTTTAAAAGTTACCCAGGTAGGAAAAACATTCTAAAACCGTTGAATTATTTTGTTGTTAACATATATAAGTATTTTTTAGAATGATTCATACTTATTATTCAGGAACCCTTTTTTGGCATTCTACTTCATTTTCAATATGTGAAAAATGGTAAATCTCCAAAGAAAAAATATTATGGAAATTGTTCGAGTCATCTACATACATAGCCTTGAGATACAAAGAAAACCTACATCTTCCTTACTGAGGAGTATTCCCATTTCTATATATTAGGTTGTTTCAAAAGTTTTATCCGTTTTATTGTCATGTTTTTTTATAGTTCCATATCTCAATAAATATTTATTATACTGTGTCGATAGAGAATTTTGTATTCTATAAATTGATGCTTTTCATTTTTTTCAAATTTTAATTTTGTACCTCTTTTCAGCTCATTACTAAATGATGTCTCTAAGAAATCAAATTGGGCCAAAGCGCTGCCGACACAGCCTCAAAAATTAACCAGGCATTTGGAAACGATAGTGTTAGGCTAGGCGCAAATTGGAAGCATGTTGGGTGACGCAGCACAGCGCGATCTTTTGTAACCCATGAAAACCAACAGAATAGCGCAAGTTGGCGCCACCGGACACGAGATGGCGCCACTAGCGTGACACGTGGCACAGTGGTTGAGACATAGTTTTTCATGCCAATTCTTTCGGGTGTCGCCAAAGGTTTTGTATTGCACAACATTGCGTTTTCCGGTTTTTCATTGTTTCTTTGTTGTTTATTTTTTAAATTCAAAGTTATGGTTGAGAAAAAGTTAATTGAGGCTGTGAGGGCATACAAAGAGCTGTATGACCCCAGCGATGCGAATTACATAAAAACAAAATGCAAAATCAGGATGGAATGAACTTGCTGAAGAACTCAATTTGAAAGATGGTTTCATTCAATTCGGAATTGATTACTAAAATCAGCATCACTCATCTTCTTTGTTATCATAAATTGTCCACATTTTTTCCTTTCCAAGAAAAAATCGTTGTTGGGTGATTTTACTTTATTAACTAGCAAACAATAAAGCAAAAGTTCGTGTCCGCATCAGTCGGATTCCGATTCCGAACTCAATAAAAGCAATGATTTTCTAACTCTGTCAGACATAGCGATATGATTGTCACTTCGAAACTGCATTCAAATTACAGATCATCCACGCTACGCGTATGACACGTGCGTCTCATTCAGTTCAGCTCACATGTGCTCAATTTGCCCTCAGCTTCAATAAATGCACAGTTCGACTTTGGTTTGCAAAGTTTCGTTCTGAAGATTTTAGCCTCGAAGATGAGATCGACCAACATTAATTCAGAATGAGGGTTTGAGAACTGGGCGTCAGCTCCCATGCGGTTTTTGATGGTTCAAAATGTATTGGAAAGGTAAAAAAGCTCAAAAAGTGGTTGCCCTACGATTTGAACGATCAACAGAAATTGTCACGTTTCGAGGTCTGTTCTTTGCTTATGCGCGACCAAAACAATCCTTTTTTAGATCGTATCGTCACGTGTGATAAAAAGTCGATCCTCCAACAATAGGCCATTAAGGAACTTCCCAAAGGTGAAAATCCACCAAAACAAGACCATGGTTACTGTATGGTGATCACTGACTGGTTTAATTCACTATAACTTTCTGTAACAAAGTCAAATCATCACAACAGAGTTCTATTGAGAGGAAATCGACAAAATGTACCGAAAATTGCGTCAGCAGCAGCAACCGGCACTGGTCAACAGAGGAGGTCCGATCATGCTACACGACAACACCCGTCCGCACGTTTCACAAAACACCGTCCGAACGAATTGAGCGTCCAAGTTCTGCCTCACTCACCATAATCCACAGACTTCCCGCCAACCGACTACCATCTTTTCAAGCACTTCGATAACTTTCTCAGCGGTAGATCCTTCGCCAATCATGACCAGACAAAAACGGACTTCATAGAATCTCGAGCACAAAATTTTATGTTGGCGGAATTATCCGACTCGTATTACGTTGACAAAAGTGCGCTTATTCAAATGACTCTAATTTCAATTAAATTGAATAAGTATTCACTGAGATATTACAGTTTAAAGTAGACTCATAAAAACGGACAAAACTTCTGAAAATTATTGACGCGTAAATTGAAAGGCCATGAAAGTTTTTTCCCCCAACATAAGTTGAAATGAACTTACTACTTGCACAATTTACACATTCATATAAAATTGTTGGGAGAAATTCTGAAACAATCGGTGTCTTTTGTAAAGGATATGGCGTCTTGAGTGCCGACAAGCCAGCTTGCAGAGCAACAGTGAAAACAGACTGTGTAGCAAGTTGGAAGAGTCTGTAATTTTCTTGGCGAAATTGTTCAATAAGTGTGTCCCATCTTTTGACATCAAACAAAGCTTTGTATGGAGCTAGATCTGAAAACATAATAAAGTAAAATATGGGACCTCCTATAAAAATTTTATCAAAATTATATTACAAGCAACTAATATAGCCGAAAGAATCCTTATTTCCAAAATGATTATGATTTGAGAGATAACCCGTCATGAGAAAAAAACTAATTTATGAGAGAAGTGGCAATAAAATTATCTGTACCTTTTCACTGATAATATACAGGGCTATTCAAATTCGTTTATGTACATGGGGATCTCGTAAATGATAAGAGATAGAGTGTCGGTTAAATTGTGGCAAAGTTGTGTATTTTAGAGACCTATTCAATGATGTAAAGAAATCGAATAATAGCAACTTTCACGTCTCCCTATGTATTGTAGAGTTTTTCGAGAGTTTTTTTTTTCATTTTTAGGAACCTATTCATATTTTTTTCCCTTGCTTTGAGCATTTTCTACAATGAACTTCGAATAAGAAAACCTTTTATGATTATTTGAAACATATTTACATCAAAAATATATTATATGTGTTTTAATAAGCAGAAAAAGAAATGATACCAATAATAACATCCGTAATGAACACTATAATTGTAATGAAAATTGAAATGAAGTAATTTATATAGGTACCCAAAAAAATTATTGGCGCAATAAATGTTCGAATTGGAGTCCTTCCATTTCGAGAAATTTTTTAAACTCGGTTTTTAATATTACTTATTGCCTTTAATACACTTATTTGCTGCATTGTTGCGAAATTATTCAAAATCCTCAATCTCGAGTCTTCCACATTTTCTATCTCTCTACCAGCGTAAATCCTATTTTTCAATGTCCCCCATAGAAAATAGTCCAAAATAGTAAGATCTGGTGATCTTGCAGACCATCTTATTGTTCCATTATTTGTCTCCAATTTGAACATTTCTTTTTCATTATAATTGTAGTGTTCGTTTCGGATGTTATTATTGCTACAATTTTTTTTTCTGTTCATCAAAAAACATACAATATATTTTTGTTGTAGATATGTTTCAGATAATCATAAAAGGTTTTCTTATTCGCAGTTCATTGTAGAAAACGCTCAGAGCAATGGAAAAAATATGAATAGGTACCTGAAAATGAAAAAAAAACTCTTGACAAACTTTACAATGCATAGGGAGACGTGAAAGTTGCTATTGTGTTTTTATTCAACTCAGTCAACCAATTTCCAGGGCCGTAATTTAAAAGGGAATAATTCATACAATTATAATTGAAGTGAACGTCTACGATCCAAAAACTACAACAAAAAATACAGGTCCGTATTTAAAAATTCAAATATAAGGTGGCCCAAGTCAGATGACACCCTGTATAAAAGATTCATGGATCTGAGAGCCCACATCAAGGCCAATAGCAAAATGTGGACAGATTTTCAATATGTTTGCGAATAAAGAAAATATAGGCAAAAAAATAATTTGGGATTTTTTGGTTTTTCCTGTATATCTCCAGAACCAAAAGAGCTATATTCGATTTCTTTACATAATTGAATAGGTCTCTGAAATACGCAACTTTGCCACAATTTAACCGACACTCTATCACTTATCATTTACGAGATCCCCATGTACAGAAACGAATTTGAATAGCCCTGTATATAGGAACAGTTTAGTTAAGAGTGACATCCGTAATAAAATGATACATTACAACGTCGTTATTTTCATAATAATATAAAACAGAAATACTTGAATTAAAGGATTCAGCCCAATAATAAAACGAGAATTTACAAATTTTTGAAAATATTACATACATACATAAATGCCTACAAGAGAGGCATTTATGTATGTAATGTAATAATGTACTAGTCATTAAAGAAATCTATTTATTTTTATTATTTGGGCTCATTTAAATTTCCTCATTTTATTATTTTGCAGAGCTCATATATTAAAATCAAGAAACAGTTTCCTCAAAATAATTCGAAGAACATTGTAAATTAAGACCTCATTGAGGTTTACTGCACTTCAAGCAATCCAAAGGATAGTTATACTTTATTTTTACTTTAAATCAATGAATTTTGTGTAATTTCAGTTTTTTTTTGTCTTATTGTCAAAATATTCATGTATGTTAAATATTTCATAAAGACAATAAATGACAGCCAATAGCATAGCCTATAATTTCAGTCTTTCAAAAATAATTAATGCTCATAAAGTCATATCATCAATAAAAGTCTTCCCCACGATTTTATATTACAAATATTTTACTGTTTTTCAAAAGTATACCTGTGGTAACTGGAAAAGCTAGCAGTGCCATAACTTGCTGAATAGTGACAAGATGTTCCTCTTCAAAACTCGGAAAATGCTTCCGAGCATGCTTGATGGCATCCATTCTTCGCTCACTTCGAATCAACTCAACGAATTCCTGTATTCGCAAATTGAACTCCATATTTGATTTCAGTTTGCGCAACTTAGATTTATTATCGTGGCACCAAAGAAGGCATTTATTCGTTTCTCTATGAGCTAATGACCTTTCCACTTCACGGGATGTTAGGAAAATATCTAGAAAAGAAATTGATATCACCATTTTGAAAAATTTTGTGAAATGCCATTTTTAAGGAGCACCCCAATATCTCCTCTAATCCCTGAAATAAGTATCAGAGCAATTCCACTAATACGTGTAACATTTTAACTGTAGGGTTATCCGCATTCTTTCCTATGCTTAAACTAAACCACAGCTAATTACTAGTAACTACATCTGGACCACTATCTTGAATTCGATAGAAAGAGCACTCTCTTTCTCATTCTACTCCTTAGTTTTTCCTGACTCCCTAAAAACACGGAATAGTTGACTGCAAGGGTGTAAGTTATATCTCAAAGTCTCAGCAATGACTGACTGGCGAGCTTCAGTTCACTTGCATTTATAATTTTAGATGGTGGTGGGGTTAATAGTGGGGATAGTGATGAGAGTATCCCTGCGAATGCTCACTCCTGATTGGTCCCCACTTTAGCTAGGTTGTTCTGTTTGGTCCACGCTATTGACAGATCCACTACTTTTCATCAAATTCAAATGCATAAAATTATGATACCACATAACCTATGTTTTCAACTGACAAGACGTGACGTTTGGTTATTTGATGAGAAGTCTTTGCTGAGATATGTTCCAAAAGTGACCAGAAATATTTTTCAGTAGTTCTAAAATCACCACTTTTATGAAACACAGTTTCCTGAAAGCTGATGAAACAACCGTGAAAATATTAATCAATAATTTGTTGCGGTGAGAGTGACAATTGGCGTATAACGACTTTTAATTTGTAATACTTGAACGGGTGATTAATAAAAAGGATATCCATACTTTTATGTTGTTTTCAGAAAAACAGAAAACGTTCTGATGAACGATAAAAGAAGTTTTTGTAAATTGTTCAGAGATATTCTCAAAATAAAATGTTCCTTGATTCAAAACTAAACCACTGAATAGATTTCATAGATGAATACAATACTTACTTTCAATCATCTACGAGGTGAACAAAGAAAATGTGAAAAACATTTTAAAAATATACTACTCCAAATAAAATAACTTTGCCTCTTAAAAAATGAACAGCTCATTCGATACAGTTTAACAACAAATGTGAGAAATGCCTCAGTACTGATGATAATTCAGCTTTTTTTACTATTGTAGCGCAGCATTACTTTCGTCTGTCATTTGTGCAAGTGTTTCGCCATACAATGGCTTCTTCAGGCATGTCTTTACTTCCCTTTACAATAAAGACACGCCTGAAGAAGGAGAAAACTTCACATTTATTTTCGTTTTTGAGTTTGAATGATGCAGAACTATTTTATGAAGAACGAAATTTTCTGACAAAACGATGGTATAAAAGTTTTCCATAAAAGTAGTTTTGAAGATTGAATTTAAAGCTAACGTACCAATATTCGTTAGGTCCTTGATATCGGATCTATCAGCCAAAGTGATTGCAGCATTGTAATATCCATTCCTGAGGAAGTACTCCACCATCATCCTATCTAGTCTTTTGCGTCTCCATTGATTAAAAGCAGCCACAGATAATGTACCACTTGGAGTCAAGGTATTATGCTCTTTCAAGTGCTCCAAACGGCGTTTGCAAACATTTGAAGCCGCTAGTTCTTCGGAAATGCTCTCTTCGGCTGTAATACACAGAGATAGGTACAATATAAGAATCCCACTCAGGAATGGAAGAATTTCTGTATGAAGATAACTAAGAAAGCAATGATTGGATTTTTGATTGACTTCATTTTTAACCTTACACCACAATCTGCAAAAAATAGGAAGTTATTAGGATATCTTTTAAAGGCAGAAAGAGGAGACTACTAGGCTCTTTTTGAAAAATTATGCAAAACGGTTTTTTTTAATAGTGTCAAAAACACAAAATTAGTCAAAAACTTGTCATATTCCGAAAATTTCACAACAATATGGTTAAAACTAGCAAGTAGAATTAGTAATGAGAACTATATTAAAAGAGTGGAAAATAACATACCATCAAATATAAAACACTTCTGGAACTATGTGAACAATAAACGGAAAAATTATGGCTTGCCTGACACAATGTACAATGGCGGTTCGATTTTCAAAAACGGTAATGAAATTTCAAATGCATTTGCACGACAGTTCCAATCAATTTATAAACCTAATACAAATAACCATTGATTACGAGAAAACGATAGAAATGAATAGTTGCTCAATCAATTTGGAAATTATCTTGAATAAATTATCTCAATTGAATCCAGATAAAGGACCAGGACCGGATGGAATACCAGCATTATTGTTGAAAAATTGTAGATTTGCATTGGCTAAACCGCTGTTGTTACTTTTTTCGGCTTCTCTTAATTTAGGAGATTTTCCCATTGTGTGGAAATCTAGTTACATTACACCAATTTTCAAGTCCGGAGACAGAGCAAACATAAAAAATTACAGACCTATAAGCATACTCAACAGGGAGTGTATGACCTGCAACCAGGTCTCTAGGTTTTGGTGGATAATATTTTTTTTTAGAAGTAGGTATACTTGTGTTTTGAGAAGAAGAACTTCCATCATCCTCTGATTCATCAGCATCTTCTGTCCACCACTCATCTTCCTCTCCTTCACCTTCTAAAGATGAGTAAACCAAAGCAGTACTGCGAATTTTCGGTAATCTGGGTACTCTAGAAAATATATTATATATTTCTATACTGAACCATTATTGATGAACTTACATTTTTGAATTGCAACTAACAATATGTCTCACTTTTGGAATGTCAGGTCTATAGGATACAGATAACTTTTTAATCCAGTCTTTTTTCTTTAGTAGAACATCAGTTGAAAGTTTTAACAATCTACGATCAGACAATTCCAGGAACGTGTCACTTGGGTGCTCAAGTACTTTCAACCTTAAAAAAAATGTAATAACTATAAATGTATAAGCCCATTTTCGACTATTATTACTTCTTAATATCTTCCTGTGGAATTTCTGAAATATGTGAATAACCAGATGTATTACTTTGCCAAGCTACTTCTATCATAATATCTTCCACATGTTGTACAGTAAATCTCTGTCGTGTTTGAATATTTTTTTTCATAGTTTTGGATTTTTTTATCCAATTAGGTTGTTCAAAATTACCTGGGACACAAATCTGTAAAAGACAAAAAACTAACTGAAAAAAATAATTCCTCTTTAATAGCAGAGTGAAAAATTATCTAATACTATTAATATCAAATCACACAAATTTTGAATTCATCAATTTTTATAATAGGTTCTCCAGTTTGTTTTGTTATTGACTAAATGATTTATTTCAGTTTAAAACCAAGAAAAACGAAAAATCTCGAGCACAAGGTCATCAAAAGTCAGCTAATGTATTCACAAAAACCAAACTCGGTGCTCCTCAGGTGCTTCTGTCTGTAGAGTAGGGAGGATGAGTGTAAGCCCACGCACTTAGGCCACATGTGACCCATTATACATCCTCCCGAGGAGTTGTCCTCCTAGGTCATCGTCCATCCTGTCCTTTCCAGGAAGGTGGACAGGTCGCTGGGAGACATCTCCTTTATATCGGCAGGTGTAGGCCAAGACTCGCCGAACACACACTCTCTTATTGACGATAACTCCGGGCACTCACACAGGACATGCCTGACAGTCTCATCATCCTGTTCACACATCCTGCATAGAGGTGTGTCCACTAGCCCCATATTATGAAGGTGTTTCCTTAGTTTACAGTGGCCAGTCAGAAATCCTACTGTAAGGCGTAGATATTTCCTGGTCATCGCCAGATATTTCTTCAGCGCTAGCTTTCCAGGGTCGCCCAAGGTGATCCTGGCAAGATTACATCCTTTGATTCCATCCCATCTCTTTAAGGATTGAGCATGGGTGTAACATTTGACTAGTTCCGGAATTGTCGAAGTCATCAGGCCGTGGGTGCCACTGGATCCTAAAATTCTTAGTCCTGCTGCTTTCCTTGGCTAAAGAATCGGCAATGCGATTACCTTTACTCTTGTCGTGTCCTTTAATCCACCTCAGGATAATGTTATTATCTACCGAGGCTTTGGCTAAATCTTGGTGGCACTCTAGTACTAGCCCTGAGGTAACACAATGTCTGTTCAAGGCTAATAGTGCTTGTCTGCTATCAGTGCAGTTCCTCAGGTGCTTTACTCTCCATTTGAAATTGAAAATAACTTCAAATTTAACTTCTACAAGTTTGAATACATTGTTCTCATCTTTTAACCGCTTGTATACACTGGGCTATTAAAATTCAAGTCTATTCATGGGGACCTTGTAAACGCTGAGAGATAATGTTCATATAATATTGAAAATTGAATTGGGTCTGAAAATTTTAAGTGTTTTAGTGATTCGATGGTGAATTATATCTCTTTATTACGGAATAGATGATCGTTATGATAATAATAATAATCTCCATTTCAAAAATATGCACTATTAAATGTAGACATAAATACATTACATAATGTCACACAACCCTACATGTATCCATAACTATACATTGTATTTCAGATAGCTTCCATTAGAAGTGAAGGGGTGAAGGTATCAAAAGTTGTTTCCTACAAAAGTTTCAGATAACAATGCATTGGGCTTTCCTAAAATATCATCAAAGAGTTTTCTTTTTAATAGAATGTAGGCATTAGTATGAAAACACTCGAGGAAGCTATTGTATATCGAAACACGTGTAGCAGTTTTGTAAACTGTCCAGTGAAAATCCCGCAATTAAGTTATACTTTATTCTCAAGAAACATAACATGTTTATGATAGAGAACTTAACATGTTAACTCCAACTGGAATTTCAGGAACTATCGGGATTATAATGCTACCGCTTTTTCCAAGATCTTCGTTGCAGCAACCTCTTACAACCATAGGATAATTCGAAGTATCCATTCAGTGAATACACATGTGTTCTACTTCAATATTCGATAATTTTTTGCACTGAAATTTCAGACGTCAAACTGACATGCATTTAATATGCATAAGACACTGAGGAATTCAATGTTTCAGAAGATGAAAAACAGAGGTTGCATCTTTTGATGCAACCAACTGATCAGCTGATCAACTGATCAGCCTTTCCCGTTTCAGTAAATATTCACATTTATTTATTGTATCATTATGGAAATAAAGACCTATTATTATTATTATTATCTTTTTTTATTTTTCTTTAAGGAAAAGTTATGTGATTTTATGGATTTCATGTTGTAATTTCACAGGAAAGCTGAGCATGAAACTTTTTGGTAATGCCAATTCCGAATTAACCTAATTGATAATGCATACTTTTTTTTTTAATCATTTCACCTATATTTTCGAAAAGCTTTTCAAGTGGAAATCATATCTTGAATTGATCTTGCAGGAGTAAATCAGCAGTGAAAAATACAAGGTATTGATCTCAACCTATAAATTAATCCACCTCTTTCAATTCAAAAAACTTGAGTTCCTGAGAGTTGTTTATTCAAGAAACCAATTATGATTTTATAAACATTTGAGTTGATTTACATTTTGCTTCAGATTCTGTTTGATTTTTAATGAATTTTGAATATTTTCATTTCATCATATATCTTGAGGAAGGTCAGTCAATTGTCAAGATAGACGCACCTAAGGTTCAATAGTAATATTTTATTTTTCATGTTCAAAATAGATTGATTTTGGTTACTTAGACAACAGACGATTAATGAAAAAAATTGAAAAATCTTGTTAGTAATCCAAAATAAAATAAATTTTCTCCAAAGTAATCTGAGTGATTATTTCAGTTTAATCATGAAGATAGAATAATCACGAAGAGGCGCATAAAGTGACCTTGTTATTAGGTATAGTTCTAGGTAATTGACTTTATTTTTAGTTCTTGAGTGTTTATTGCATAAATCCACTATTACTCAAGTACAATCTTACCAACTCCTGCCCTGGGTAATAAGCATCAAAAGAAATTCTGTTCCTCTTTGATAACCAATAATCATCCAAATCGTGGTTAATACTGGTCAGAACATCTACAACGGATCCACATTTTGATTCCATTGAAATCATTTGTTCCACAACCTAAAACAATGAGAATGATGGTGCCATTTATTCAAATTTCATATTTTGAGTTGATAAATTCTTACCTCGATTCGACCAAACTTGCTACCCAAACAAACTGCATCATCAACATCATAGGGTCGAACGCTATGTAATCTCTCACACGAAACATGTTCAATTACCCTATCTGTGCCAACAATTTGTACAGAAGCTGCCTGTTTAGCTTCCTTGCAGTATCCTCTCTGAGTCTCTTTACCCTTTTCCAATCTTCTGACTATATCACCAGGAATGATACTCCTGTTCATCAGTCGAACTTTACTCTGCCTCCAAACTTGTTCTCTGGAATTGTTATTCCACAAAACTCTAATCTGGCCTTTCTGCAGAGAACTACTTTCATCCACGTCCGAGGAAGCTTCATAACTATCTATAACCACCCCAAAATTAATTCTCTTGTGTTTATCAAATCTATAAACTATATCGTTTGTATAGAACTCTTTAACTTTTTCGGAATTCGACATTATTTTTGTTGACTATTTGAATAATAATTCTGTTACTCTTTGTGATTTTGTAAATGGTCTTAAAATTGAACTGAGAGATTAGAAAAAGTTAACTGATACTTTTTTTGACACTTCTTTTAAGTGATCATTGGCGCATGACATTCATTAAACGGAGGTTGGAGGTTAATAAAAAAGATTCGAAAAACTGAAAGCTTTATTGTCCATTACTACAAACCAACTATTATACACATTGAAAGGAAAACTCAGTTTTCATTTTCATATGAAAAGATATTTCAAAGTGCATCTGCGTAATCGTCGATATCACCAGCGGTGACAAAATTTTGATTTTCATAAACGTACGAGCATTTATTTCAATTTATGGTATAGTATCCGCAAAATGTTTAAGTATGGTTGACATGGGTAACATGAAGTTATATATATTTTTCTACATTCTACATTACTGATGGAAAACCCTGCATAGAAACCTTGGTGTTTGAACCGATTTCCTTTTGTTTCGTCAAAAACTCTCGACGCGAGAAATGAGATTGACCCAACTGTGTACAAATGTTTATAGATGGAACAAGAATCGTTTCCAAATGTAAACATTGTTGAGACATTGTCTAAGGATGTTGAGAGCTTAGCCCCTCTATAAATGAAATGCCGATGCTGAAGTATGAAGGATCTCTTTATTTTATGAAGAATCAAGTGTGCCGTGTAGATGGAGTGTTTTCGTAAGAATATTTTATATAAGAGATACTCATCCGGCGGCACTTTGATGTTGAAGGGTCGTGTTTCTTTGACCTATATTCTGTTCGAGGTATTCAATTTTAGCGGCGAATTCAAATTATTTGAAACTTAACAGATACATAATTTGATTGCAGTCGAGAAATTATTATGATGCCATCTCGGCAGGTTGTTAGGCCAACATTTCAACAACTCCAACCAAACTAGCTTAACTTTTCCACATGACGAAATCGTTAAGTTGACGGTGATCATCTCCAGATTGTCAATAAGTTCATGGTTCTTGTTCCGTGGTGAGTTCCCATCTGTTAGTAAAGATGGGAAATATCGTTCCTTTATTGGAACGTTACCAGCTAAAGCTTTGCAAACATTTTCTCTTCGGTTTGTATTTCATATAGAATTTTTATTTTATTTGGAGTAATCGCCTTCATTTATTTCATCTTTGTATTTAATCTTAGTAAATAAAAAACTCTAGTTGCTGTTTGATATGCTTCACAATCTTTGGTTTACACGGCCACAAAATAAGAAACGTGGACTTTCCAAATCCATGTTTGTTATTCTCTGTTAGAAACTATTTGATGATTTAATATTAGAGCATATGAATTTCCAAGGTTTACTTGATTGCCCCCGAAAAGTATGTATCTGGTCTTCAACTGTTTTGAGTTATGGATCTTTGCGTACTCATCCAACAAGAAACGGTCATAAATTATGGCTCTTCAAGTCACAGATAATCGTACTTGTATGTATGTATATTTCAAATTGTATCATTCATAGTATTTTAACCAGTAATTGAGGTTCAATAAAAAGAGGTCTATTCAAAAAATAAGATGAATTTTCATTTATCTCAAAAAATATTCATTTATTTATACATTCCTAATTTGGATCCTTCAATGTAGTCCCACTTAGATATATAAAATTTGTGTCAGCGTTTTTTCCAATCCTCGAAGCAGTTTTGATATGCACTTTTTGGTATGTCCTTGAGCTCCCTCAGCGATTCTATTATTATCCCTCCAATCATCGCAAAATGCCGTCCTTTCATGGGTCTCTCTAATCTTTGAAACAGGTGAAAGTCACAAAAGGCCAAATATGGTGAATACAGTGACCGAGGCATGATTACGATTTTGTTTTTGGCCAGAAAATTACGAACGAGCAATGACGAGTGATTAAGTGCATTATCGTACTTCAAAGGCCATGAATCGTTTTTCCACAATACTTCGTATTGCTTCTCGCAAGCAGCGTATAACTGCAAAATAATAGGTACTCCTTACTGTCCGTAGGACCATATGTGGCAAAAACTCCTGATGCACTACGCCACGGTAATCGAAGAAAACAGTGAGCAAAACTTTGATATTTGATCGAACTTGACGTGCTTGGCTCTCCTGAGGTTTTCCATTGAAACAATTGGACTTTTTGGTTACGGTGTTATAACCATATACCCACGATTCGGCACCAGTTATGACCCTTTTAAGCAAATCTAGATCGCCGTTGACGCCAACCGATCTGCCGTCATCCTCACTTCTCTAAGTGCAATTCGACGATTCTTCATAACAATTTTCTTCACTTCCTCAACATTTTCATCAGTTATTGATGTGCTGGGGCGTCCAGGGCGAGCGTCGTCATTGACATGTTCTCGACTTTTTGTGTAAAGCTTGTACCACTTGTAAACGTTTTCCTGACCCAGAGTACAATCAAAGTATGCCACTGTCAACATTTCAAGTGTTTTCGAGAACTCAATTCCGTGTTTTAAACAAAATTTAATGCAAATTATTCGATCCATTTTTTTCGATATCAGAACATTGCCGAACACGCAAACCACTTTTAACTTGTTTGCCTCTCACTAAAAAAGTAAACATGCTAAACATCTGAAACTCTGAACATATGTGTTCGAGACGAGTGTACCAATAATAATAACGCTAATCGAATTACGTAGCCCATGAAATTTGAAATTTCACCTTATTTTTTGAACAGACCTTTCATGGATTTTCGACAAATAATTAAAGACTTTCTTTTTCGATGATTGTACTGGTGATATATTTTATTAAATAAAATTTTGACAAATCATATCAAAATAAACGTTTGATTAGGGATGCATAGATTTAATTTCCAGTCGGACTAGCAATCTGATCCACTATTTTTGTTGGACAATGTTACGTTTCATTCAAAAAGTACATACTTTTCTCATAACATAGAGTGACATGATGCGGCCGTCGGACTAGTCTATTAGGGGTTCATATTTTTCCCATCGATTTTTTGTTTTGACGCATAATCTTTCAATTCATATAAACAATTCGAGTTTTTGAATAGAACTGTCCGATACTTGATGACAGTTTACGCTTGAGGAAGCTATTGTATAGCGAAACACGAAACACGTGTTTCGCGGTTTTTGTAAAACCCTTCATAATGAACATGATACAATAAACTGTATTATTTAGTTTTGATTCGAGTTTTGTAATGAATAATCGTATCCATGCCAGAACAACAGTTTCAGAAAGGTTTTGGCTTCCTATTTCTACATCTTAATAAAAAAAAAATATGGAAAATTTCCAAAGGAAGAAAAAAATTATTTATGTGAATGTAGTTGTTTCGAGAGGGCCTCTTCTTCTTTTCGTTTGTATCTGAAAGTATCTACACTTCTTTGTAAAGAGTTTATTTAGCGTAGCTTTTCTACGCATGATATCTGCTTCAATTCCATTACGAATTTTTGGAGTAAACACTGAATAGAAAAAAGTATTTTTGTCAACTCAACTTCGTATAAAAGTAGTTGTTTATGGAAAGTACTTCTTCTTCCGTGTAATTCAATGATCATGTGAAAGTAGTTGTTTCGAGAGGACTGTTTCTTCCAGTATGTATCTGAAAAAGAATTCTTTTTCCAAATTTTTTGGATAACGATGGACAAGTGGAAAACCACAACCGTTCTTTCTCAAAAACTATTCCCTCCTGAAAATATATATTTTTCAGTTTGAACAAGATTCCTATGGCTGGGATTGCATTAAATGAAAGTATGAATTTCAATTCGCACTGTCACCGTGACATGAGATTCAACTCATTGATGACATTAAGTCGTATTGTTTGTGCTTCATTTTGTAATATTATACAGACTGGTGCTAAAGAGGTAATAAGACAGGCATCTAATTCCAAAATTTTGAAGTCCGCCCCTTGAGGATGACAGAGTTTCATGTAAGTGAAATTTTATATCGTAACTTTTTCATATACTATATTGTGTAGCTTTCCTATGAATGATATCTGTACGTAAGGTTTGTCTACAAAATAAGGATGAAATAATTGAAAAAGTACAAAAAAACGGGGAATTGTGGATTTATTTTTATTATTTTAACATGAAGTAAAAGCAAAAAAACAATGCTACATAGCTACACTAAGCATAATAATGATACACAAGTGTTTTCTTTTTCCGTCAAAGCTTCTTTTGGTACTTTTTGGCTGTTTTCTTGTGAATTTTCCCTTTTTAACATCCAACAGTAGTCTGCCACCACGTTAACATTCCACCGACCTTGGTATCTGTGTTCCATTTCTTTTATGTCTTGATGGAACCGTTCTCCTTGTTCCTCACTTACAGCCCCTAGATTTTCGGGAAAGTAGTCCAGATATGAGTGAAGGAAATGGACTTTGACACTCATATTGCATCAATTCAGCAACCAAAGTTTTGTAGTTTGGGTCTTTTTTGTTTCCAAGAAAGCCTGTTATAACAAGTTTAAGTAAATTCCAGGCATTTTTTTCTTTCATTTCCATTTTAGCGACAAAGTTTCATCTTTTAAAAGTTTTCTTATGTCAGGCCCAACGAATACTCCTTCTTTTAGTTTAGCATCGAATAGACCAGGAAACTTTTCAGAAAGATACTTGAAACAATCTCCCAGCAGACTGTAGGTTTAGGGAGGGGGCAGACAAACTGTCACATACATGCCTTGTTCCAGTAGGAACTGGATTTTCCCAGTTTAGATTCGTTTTGTTGTTGAAATAAATAGATTAAAACTGTATTTTATCTTAGATATACACTCACATTGTGTAGCAACTTGTTCATCATAAAAGCTCAATAATTCAGACTCAATTTACCGCTTATATAGGCTATATAATACAGAAACATGGAACCCATACCGAACCTAAAATCCCATTTAATAAGAAAATTTCGGGTGAAATTTGTGACTTATCTATAGGTGATAGAATTTTTTTACTATTTTTTCCGTAATCTGCACACAAAATACTGTTAAAATGACTAGTTGAATATCCTACAATTTTTTCATCTCAGACCTGTGTAACAGATGTATCCTTGACATCTCTCACCATTGCCCTCAACAAAAAATAACAGGACTTCATTTTCTTATCTATCTTATCAAGGAGATAGCTGAAACTCAAGAGTATCCTGCCATAATGAATAAATTTATTAGAAAGAGAAAAAGAGTGTCTTCGTGAATCAACA